CAACATCTTAAAAAATAAATTTTTAGCGAGCTTAAAATTAACTGATCAAATAATTACCGGACTTAACCTACCGCATGAAATTAAAAACTACTGAGAGAAATTAAATCTTCTTGCGATTCTCGTTGATGTAGCGGACTTGTGTGGCACACACTTGAGCATGGAAGCGTAAAACACGGCATCTGTTCGTCGGTCGTTAGAGTGCTGTCTCTGCACCACTTTACTCTGCACGACCACAATCTGTCTTCACGAGACTAAATCCCTGAAGACATCCGCAAGCCAAGGGTTTGCTGCTGCAGAAATTTGAGCGAAATCACTTAAAACAAGTTTATTTATTTTCTCTCACTATTAGCTGCGAAGAAAATTAAGATGAGTGTTTGGTGGAAGTAGTCAAGAAGCTTATCTATCACAACGAATTAATTCAAGCTATTGGGTATATACCGTATATGGTGTTATATCTCCATCAAACGCGCGGTACAAGGGTCTTCTTCAATGATACGCACGAGTTTACTGATATTTTACTGATATTGGCTATTCAATAATCGTGCGATTTGCAAATGTGTCTTACTTACCACTACCATCTAAATTTACTGTTGAGTTTTAGTTTACGCAAGATAAACTGGTTGCATTAAACTTTTCGATTTCACATAACAGTACAACTGAAATTTTTAACCAGAACTATGAGCACTGGCTATAAGTGCTTATAGCCAGCGCCGCATTGTCCGACTCTTTTGATAAAAATATCTTTTTAACCAGTACTAAATAGGGAAGCTTGGAAAAAATACATTTACAAGATCAAACAGAGCTGCAAAAACTTACAGATTCATTTATTATTTTACCTTTGCAGGTCAAGTTGCATAATAAGTTAGATTTTATTGAAGTGCAATGATATAGCTTTGAGATGTTTAGTTTATTATATCTTAATATTTTTTATTGTTTTATCATTCCCGTCAATACTAGTCGGTAAGATCAAATTTTGTTACGCACGTTTGCCAAAGATTAGCATCCAGATTATGCCGTAAGTTCACATTCCATTATGGTTATTTCGGCTCATCCTATTCTAATGCAATGAGCATTCATTTGTTATTCACAACAGGAACAATAAATACCCTTCACCACATAACTTTGGTCTGTTCACCGATTTCGAAAGACAAATGTGTGTTCATTTTGAAACACAAAATTTATTGTTAGCTTATTACGCTGCTAAAAAAGCACCAGTTGTTCCTACACCTTGCATTTGCTAAACAAAAATCAAATGTGCTTCATCCAGCGTTTTTTGGAACTCTTTGTGACGGATGAGAGAGGGTGGAGCGCCCGACTCGTCTTGTTCGTACTTTCTTCAAAATCGTAATTCGCATTCGCGTTTCAACTTTCTTGTGTCTTGATCATTGAAATTTTTCTTGTTCCCCACTCAACATGGTGTAAAAAGCAAACTAATGCCCTAATATCATCGATAAGATATAAATAAAAATTCTACCATCCAAAATGCTTATTGATCAACTGATATTTACTCAATTCCTCCATAAATCTCGGATATTATTTTGTTCAACGTAATCTGCAAGAAAATTGTGAAAGTTTTCTGATTATAGTAACACTAATTTTGAACACGTCAATACTCATCTCGATTTCAGACGTCGACTGAACAACTTTAGCTATTTTCCGATATATTCAACTTCCATGAAAGTTTCATGAAAATCTCATGACTTCCGCCACCGACTCGAATCTCGAGCACGACACGTTCCTGAATTCGGCAAGAGATGTAACCTCCCCTGACACTCAAATGTCAGTCTACTTTTGTCTGATCTTCGTTATTCATTTACCAGGCTTGAAAAATTCATTGGAATAAACGTCCCAATATATGAAAAAATGTATTTCAAAAGTTAGATTCGATTGCTTATTCAACTTACCAATTTATTTGAAAAATAACTAAATCATAACCTGTCTACAAAACCCGTCAAATTGCACCTGAACTTTTTCGCTGATCCGACAAACATTATCAAACTGTCCACCAAAATACTCTCTCCACCTCCTCGGATGCCACAAGTTCCATCACAAGTCATAGCTGTCACGAGGCTGTCACGCGCCTAAGAGACCACATAATTATTCAGCAACCGAAATCCTGTCACTCCTTGAACTATCCGCCTGGCACTGCAGAGTGTATCTAATGGATATATAATCTTTATTTTTTTTTAACTCTTTTGCCTTCTGGTCCCTACTGTTAAGCAACTCTAGACAACTACCCCACTATTCGGTATTGATTTCTATAATGAGTTACCAGTGCGGAAGTTGTAGCCTCACTAGTTCAAAATTTTGCTTATTCAAAGATTCTATAATTTAGAAAAGAAAATTACGCCAAATAAATATGCGTTCTTATTTAAACATATAAACTAACACACATCAAAGTTTCACTGATGCTATTGCCATAATTACATTAAAAATCCCTTTTATAAGAGACATAACTTCCTGATTCGAAAGTAATCCACGTAGAACACTTTATCGAACCCATGCAGATGCTAAATAATGTCTTTTCTAGGAGCCAGGTCATTCTTATTGGCACTACCATACAGTCGCTTGATCTGCTGTTGTACATTGGTTGGGAGTTATATGATAAGCTTTTACATGAATAAAAGTTTCATACAAAAAGAAGAGGCATTTTTCAAGGCATTAAGCTATCCAAGAGTAAACAACCCGTGTGATTGTGACCTACGCATCGTCAGAAGGACAACGGCCCACGAAATGATGTGGCCGGGAGATCGATGTCTCTCAGGCAGTCGATGCATCACACGCAGAGCTCATAAATCTCGCTAAGCATGACTTAAAGCTGCTTAAATTAGAGAACTCTGTCTTGATCTTCCATAAAATTTATGAGTCTTCCCTCGAGGATTCCTTGCCTGAATAGTAAAGGCAGATTGCCTGGCGTCTCGGCAGTAAAGGATGGAAGCCATTTGCTGATTACGCATCAATTTTTATGTTGTTAAGGAAATTAGCAAATACAAGCTCAAGCAAAAAAGCGTACTTCACTTTCATTGACGGTGTATAAATTGAATGCCCTCAATCAGTACTTAGTGTGATGTTGCGAATCAATGAGATTCAATTTTGTCATTAATTATGAAATAAACACAGGAAACATTTTTAAAACACTTTTACGTGATGCCAAGTATCAACTCACTGTGAATGCAGATTTATAAAGAGACAAAAAATGTAGGGCATTTTCATTCTTTATCAGTTTCTATCACAAGCAACGAGCTTGCTGGAGCTTGACCCAATATCTTAACTTGCAGCGAATTTTTCTCTTCAACTCAATTTAGCTCTCACGTTGTTCCTTATAACGCGCTGAGGGAGGATACCTGCTGCTCGAGAAGTCGAGTTGTGTTCTCGAGATCTGAAAGACTTGTTCCGTATCTTCGGCAGGGACTTCGACTTGAAGAAAATAATTGGTCAAGAGGCTGCTCCACGAATTTTTGCTGATCCAATTACATTTTACAGTGATAATTTCTGGATATTTTTCATTCTAACGATGTAGCTTGTATGAAAAAGTGAATCTAAATAATGTAAAATATTTTTCTTACGCCACACTTCATCAGGAAACAAATAATCTAAATTGAAATAAATGTTTCGCACAATGCACCCTCAAATATTAAATATGAAAACGGATTTATAATGGTTTATAAATCTTTATAACAAAAGGTAAATTATTATTGTAATGATCCTTACCTGTCGCGCCGAAATGGTTTTAAAAATTTCGATTATCGACCGTAAATGTCGGAAAGTGAATTGGGCTGACTTCACATGTCGGCAAGGTTCTCCTAGCTCTGTTTCCCTAAAACTTGGTTCATAACTTCACTGTAATTACAATCCACGTGTATCAAAGTTTCCTAAAACCGAAAGCCCTGCAAAGTCGTGCGTGCCATGCCACGAAAAGGAATTTAAGTCTTGGAAGGTCACTGTGAATGGAATTGGCTCAACATTTATTTAATTCGAAGTTTCGAAATTTCCAGCAATGGCAAGTATTTATTTATTAAATTTATGGATAAATTTACAAATTTTCTCCTCTCAACTTAATTAAAGAACTTGAGTATATGTACGAACGAACAAAGTGAAAACGATTTAACAACTGGATTTGAAAGAGAAGATAGCGATGAATCTTATTCTCGCCTTAGAATTAGTCACCGCTCCTTCTTAATTAAGTAAACGAACTTTTCCATGCAACCCAAGACAGAACGTGGAAGTCCACAGAATATCCTTGAAGCCTCCAGAACACAGAACATCTGAGCCTCCACACACACTAGTCACAACCCAATAACTACCCAAATTTGCAACTGTTTTAATATGGGTACAGGCGTGAACAATCATAAACTAACGCATAATAAATCGATTAATTAAGAGAGAAAGACTACTCAAATTACGAAAGGAAACATTGTAAATAGTTCAACAAATTTTTCTTCATCGTTGCTATTGAAACAAATAAAAAAAGCAGAGCCAATGATTCTTTGCTGTTATTAGTTCCGACAGGGCTTTGGCAGTAAGTCTCTAAATGCATCTATTGATAAAATACAATTAATTTATTCCTAAAATCAAGTCATTTAGGGTATATATTATCGCTGAGAGCTAAATTCTAGCAAATATTTAACGTCGCAAATAATATGAAGTTAGGAATTTCACTTTATGCAAAGCCGTGCTCAATATTTTTAGGGTACCGGAAGTGATAATTTCCTCCCAATAAGCAACTTCGACGCCGCATTACATCTTTACGATGAAGTTACGAGGCCCCGCGCGACCCTTGAGAAGATGTCGATCAATGTTGCGAGCTAAGGCTGGAAATAAGTTGAAACCGGAGGCACATGCCTGAGTAAATCCAAGCCATGTTCAGTTATGAGCCATAATCTCTTATACGACAAGAGTATTTAGTTTTAATGCAAATAAGTCGGTCAATAATAATATTTATTCAATATTACTATAAAACTATATTTAATAATGATCTGTTTTGAATTTTCGACACTCACCTGTCGTCCACGTGTAGAGCTGGGAGTCGTTTTGCTGCTGAGACGCTGTGCAGATTTGCTGCAGTAGCGCCGCTAACATCACCCAGTGCAAGAGCTTCATGTTCGTCTTTAGTTTAGTGACATTCCCGGCACTTAGAAAACGAACGATAAACTTGGTTTCAGTGCTTTATTAATGAGTCACTTCAATTTCGAATAGTTAAATACTATAGTTAAGTTCTGAATTTTTGAACAATTGAATAAATACTTCAATTATTCATTCATTTGAACAAGCTGAAGGAAGGCTCAGGTGGTATGGCGGTCGATGGTCTGTTGATGGTCACTTGTCTAACCAGTCAGGATCAAACCTCAGCTTCGTGGAAAAATTTCTGCACAGGAATAAAAAACCGAACTTAGTAAATAAGCAATAAAAAACCTACTCCTAGAATAGCTGAAACAATCAAGATGATAGCTGAATTTCAGATTAAGCTAAATTTTGAATTAACAGTCATTATTCTACCAGTGCATATTTTACATGGAATGATTAAATTATTTACAATATCGAGTTAATGCTTGCGTGCAAATCAACGCCGTTTAAATGCCGTATCTAATCGCTTTAAATGCTCAATCAAAACATGTGCTCTCTTTGATGCCGGTATTGTTATTAACTTAACGTGATTGCTTCTGTAACGAATTATAAATGCTGTGTTTCCAATCCTTGAACTGCATCGCAAACGCCTCTCACACACCTAGAGTTCTGTTTTCCCAACTATTGTTGTCTGTTGACTGAACCGCTGTCTGTTGACTTGGAACATTGAACCACTGCATGATTTACCCGGTATAAATTAGCCTGCATTGTGGTAACCTCTCACGGCAAGTTGTATGACAACAAACATCGTTGTGCGTACAGCAAATGCTGCGTTATCCTTAGCGTCTTCAAGAGCCTCTCGACAACTCACTGCGTCTGCGCTCTGCTCCATCGCAAGTCCGCACTTGCAAGTCTTAAAGAACTAGGGTCATTTGATACACCCAATGATTTTCGTTTGTTTGAACAGCTTTGTTAAGCGCTGCATTGTCCGACTCTTATGATAAAAATATATTTTTAGCCAGTACCTAATAGGTTGCTTAGACTCGTGTAAAAAAAAGTTTATCAAGAGATTGTTGGATGATTGTATGACAAGCATTATTTCTCGGATACAAGTTACATTTCAAAATAAAGTATGTAATATTCTTAAAGTATTGTACAACTCTGCACAGTGTTGTGGCCATATCTCAAAGTTACAAAAAAATTTTTTTTTGAGTTTTCAGTCTCTCTCACCTAAACAGTTCTTGAAGATCCTGAGATCCCTATAAAAAATAATATTTATCCTATTAGTGATCAAATATAATCGTTACAATATTGCAGCAACACCCACGTTATTAGAGATTCATTTGAATAAAGTAGCTGCAGCTTTTCTAAGTTCCTTCTTCTCCTTACTTGGATGTGAAGGAAATTCCCGACCATGCCACGCTCTGACGAAATTCAGTGCCTAACCCAGGGCATGTAATTTCTTCATCCCAATTCAGAGAAGAATATTTCAGCCGCTACGCTAAAAGCCGGAGCGGCAGAGTGCTTCTTACAACATCCTCATAATAAACGTGATGGGATTTCTTTAGACTTGAAAGGAAATGGAACAAATTTTCCGAGCGTGAGTTCGTCGTGAAATGCAGCAATTCAGCTCACCATTAAATGGATTTATTGCCAGTGATAACAGGAAGCTTGAAGAAGACCTACAACGAGATCGTCTAGGACCTCGTCTTGAGCTCCGGTGAAACGCGCTGCTAATTCTACATCTAAGTGCCCTCCAGAAAATCTCTCGCTATTTACTCGCTGGAAAGTAGTGTACTCGTATTCAATTTTACTCGTTTAAATCTCATCCTCTGAATCGAAATATGAAATTATATTTTCCTGCTGTGAATTAGAGCCGCGAAATCAAGATATAATTTTTTACTAGCTTGGATATAGTGGGTTCATGTGTAGTGCCTACAATGTATAAAATTTCATGATCAACCATCCCGCTTCACATAAAGTAACGAATTCGGTGTTATTCATCACATCAGAGGGCTGAAAAAAGACGTTTTCCGACTCTAAATAAGTGATTTAGAATAGCTTTTAAATTGTCAAATATATCCTATGATAAGATTTTGAACACAACCAAGTTTATATTCTACTCTATTTTGAATTTGGCTTTGTAAAAATAACTTTTCAATGGCACTCCTGCTAATTCTGAGAAGCAGTTAACACAGAAAAGTTAAAAAAGCCAGACTTGGTAAAAAAAACTTTGCTTCACAATTTGCAAACGAGCCTCAATTAGATGGTCTCCAATTAAAACTTAAGCCATCTCTGAAAACCGCTCGGCCTGAGCTATCTAGAAAGCTTGAGTAAAGAAAAAAATATACCATGCTTAAAAAAAGGGCTTCCCGTACTAGACTTGGCGGTCTCTGTTATTAAAAGCTCATCAATTATTTTTTAAGATTCACGTCATTGAAAAAGTCAGGTTCTTACTTCAATAACAGTTCCTTTAACAATAAAATTATAAAGAAATTTCTATGTCCCAAAATTTCATTTTAATTAACCTTAAATCTGGCTTTTACAAATCACGATAGATTGTTATTATTAACTTGTGTTAGATCGAACGAAAAATTAGTTAATCTCTAGGCATTCTGTTGACAAGAACTTGCAAGAAAACTACAACTTTGTATGGAAAATGACGATAACTCAACATTCAATGCTCTCCTTAATCAATTTCTGATTTCATCGTAGTCTGACATAATCATAAAATTAGCAAAACTATGGAGAAAATCACTCAGACAATTACTGTAATAAAAAATGTTCATTTCCTAGTGGAAAGGTTACAAGGTAATCAACATTAAGGCAGCGTAGCCAGCAGCCGGTGCTGCGTGCCGAGCTGCACTTACAATTGTCGAAAGTGTTGACCGACACGACACCGAGCCTCGCTAGTTTCTGTACGAATTTCGCTGTGAGGTACTGGAAATAATTACGAATGTGCGCCCCGTTTTGTAGCAATGATCTGTTTTAATACTAGAGATAATTTTTCAAGTAATGTACGTATTGGCAACACTTGCCGCAATGCTGTTTTAAAAAACTAATTGGAATTTCATCATGACAGACCATATCATGAACTTTGTTATTAGACTCTGTTGCGAGGGATTTTTATTTTTCATGTCCCAATACTTTTGGCCTTTATGAAAGTCGATAAATAACTAATTGAATTTTACTTCCATTTATCTCTCGATTTCCCGACTACATTTCTTACAAAACATTCCCTCGTATCTTTATCCGTAATATATTTGGTAACCAAACGAGCCTATAGGTAAGAGGGAGCTTGTAAATGTGACCCAATTCCTCATCCGCGTTCCGGAAACAGCTTTGTGTGTCCTTTTCTGCGGACCGCGCCAGGGGCTTCCGACGCGTCCCAGCCCCCGGAATATTTGTCATGGAAATCGCAATGTTCGGCGACCCGGAGTTTGCTTTGCCTTCCTCCGGCGTGGAAGGATGGATCAGACACGACCAACTCTTGCGGAAATCCTTGGCTCAGCGCGCCAGATGGGGGGATCAACATTCTACGCACGTGTCTAAATAGCCTTGTTTCCCGACTTCTAATGCTTGAAATTAGGGTTTAACTTACCGTTTATATCTTTTCCATGATTTTCATGTAGCAAAAACAGTTGTACAAATTTCTGGAACAATATATTTACACAACTTCAAAAATAATATCAGAAATAATATTTTTCGGCAAAATATGATGCCGTTCTAAATAAATTTGAAATATGAAGCGGCTCATGACAGCTACTTAGCATGCGTTTCTTTCAATTTTAAGTAAAACTGTATATCGATAGTCAGCTTAAAATTGAAGCAATCTTCCTAGAATTTTTCAATTCGTATAAATTATTTTGAGTATCTCGCTTCAGTATATTATCTCAAAAGAACATCCCTAATTAATAACACATCTCATTTATATGCCGATCAGGTTTCTTACACACGACTAATATTGCTACCAAAAAACGTACTAATTCCCCATCCAATATCGACTTCTCTACGTTATGCTTTCAGGTCACCATCACTTGTGATACATTGGCGCAATAATACGCAGTATGTACCTCCGAGACAGGCGCGTAATAATACGCAGTATGTTCCTCCGAGACAGGCGCGCAATAATACGCAGCATGTACCTCCGAGACAGGCGCGCAATAATACGCAGCATGTACCTCCGAGACAGGCGCGCAATAATACGCAGCATGTACCTCCGAGACAGGCGCGCANATCTAGATGTGTATAAGAGACAGAGTCTACACTGCTTACTCAGCTCGCCTCATATCCATCGACTTGCTTTACTCAATGCCGCTTGGTGGCTGAATTGCTTGCTTTTGTTCAGTTATGGACGCGCGAAATTTCAATCTGATATTGAGTGGTAAGGCGGTGAAAAATGATCATCATTGAATAGGAATGTGAGGATGACGAGTAGTGGTGAGTGTAAAATAAAATACAGCAATAAGGAAAATACTATGCACATGTGCGGTAATGAATAATGAATGACTGTGTGGATATGTACTGTAATGGAAGCTTAATTAAAAACTAACTTTGGTTTCATAACCTAGGTAGAGAATAAGAATAATAAAAAATGGTCTTTCATGACCTGAAAACGATATTATCTGGCTTCTTTCGGTAAATTACAGCCGCATTCACGGCGGTGTATTCAGTTCAGAATGAGCACCATTATACTCGTAAACGTTTGCTGTGTTACATTAAGCAACAAACATGCACAAGTTGCGCATAATTCATGCCGTTGGAACTTGTGCATCGATGAAACTTTTAGTGCAGTATCGATGGCAGAACTTTGAACCAATATTGTGTAAACTTGGACGCTGTAAGGTTGCAGGATTCATGACAAAACAGCTCCCGGCAGCTGAAACAGAGGCCTGATCAGCGAGAAATGAACCATTCTTCATTCAGAGAACTATGATGCTGCAGCCATGGTAAATGACGCCGAAATAACTAATACTTTGACTTCGGAAATTATGAGCACTGAAAACTATGGTGAGGACCCAGTCCATTATTTTCGGTCTAAATAATATAATTCCGTATAACTGATGGTAAGAAACAAATTAAACATGATCAGCTTTGCATGACAACAAACAATAATTTTTCTCATAGATTGTCAATTTTGTTAATATTTATTAATATTTCGAAATGTTCCTACTTATATAAAATTATACACAAACTTGGCAATATAAGTGAGGCTTCCCTCAAGTATACGTGGCCACGCGAGACAAGCACTGGATGTTCCCCTCATTACGTAATCATAAGAAGTAGGAATCAAGACTCGCC